TAGTATATATATATATATATAGGTTATATATAAGGTATAGTAGTATGCATATATAGCATGTATAGGGTATATAGGACGATAGTAGTACAGTATACACGCATATATAACACTCATACACCATATCGGATGCTGAAATCTTGGTGGATACAAAGCAAAGGCGGGAGAAGAAGAAGAAGAAGAAAGAAGAAGAAGAAGAAGAAGAAGTAGAGAAGAAAAAGAAGGAGAGACACGTTTTCCGCCTTCACCTCCAGCAGTCCGAGAGGCTTCGGTCGTGAATGGCAACCTTTGGAAATCCAATTAAGTATAAATAAAAAAGGAAAATAAATGAAATCTTCTTTTTATGATCCGTAATGACAAATATGATTGGAATTCTTCACTTCGTCATTTCAGAGACCGATTGCGAAATAGCGACGAGTGATATCTCATCAAGTCAGTCTGAAAATGGAGATAGAGAAAGCGGGCGAGAGATAGAAAAAAGAGAGAAAATAAAAGGATATGCGATAGATAGATAGATTTATAGATAGAGAGGGAAAGGGCCGTATATATACATACATACATATATAATATATATATATATATATATATATATATATATATATAATATATATATATATATATATATATATATATATATATATATATATATATATATATATATATATATATATATATATATATATATATATAATATATATATATATGTGTGTGTGTGTGTGTGTGTGTGTGTGTGTGTGTGTGTGTGTGTGTGTGTGTGTGTGGTGTGTGTGTGTGTGTGTGTGTGTGTGTATTCACATACACGCGAGGAGTTGCTAAGTAAATGTATACTAAAACATCAGTTAAAAAAGAGAAAAAAATCAGGAATATACATTTTTTTTAAGAAAAAGAAGAAAAAAAAGCCTCACAAAACTTATAAAGCGAAAATCCTCGACTGGATCACAAACGAAAAACATAAATGAAAATAGAAAATGATATCAAACAAAATTTGAAAAAAGGAAGGAATAAAGAAATGCAGATCATAGTCATCACTGATTGATAATTGCCCGTCATCGCATGCAAATGAGCGAAGGACACAAGAGGAGAAGAGGAAGAGGATGCTTGCAAAATTACAAAGCAGTTTACGTGTCGATAAAATGTAATACGAACATCGGGAAATGTTTTCAAATACCAGGATATTAAGATCGGCCGTCAAAACTGGACTCGGGAAAATGATATACAATTGAATTAGGAACAGAGACAAAACCATTCATGAGTAGATTAGTTTAAAGAGTAGGAGGAATAGGGGGAGGGGAGAGGGAAGGGAAGATTAGGGGGAGAGGGTTAGCAAGATGTAGGAAGGAAATAAAAAAAATATAAAAAGAATTTGAAAAAAGAGAAGAAAGAAAGAGGAGAGAGAGAGAGAGAGAGAGAGAGAGAGAGAGAGAGAGAGAGAGAGAGAGAGAGAGAGAGAGAGAGAGAGAGAGAGAGAGAGAGAGAGAGGGGGGGATAAAAAAGGAAATGGCATAACCGACCAGCTTTTTAAATTTGGGTGATGGATTTCTCTAACCTGGGCGACGGGTGGGGGGTGGCACA